AATAACAATGAGTTCACATAATAATAATCATTATTGAAATTTTTTTAATTTTTTTTTCTAATAGTATAAACTGGTATGCAAGAAAAATTCATACAAAATTTTCTTTTTTTATAATATATAATACAATAATATGTATAAATTTATTGTTGTGTATACTATGCTAAATATTCAAATAAATCACAAAATGAAAAAGTAAAAATGTCCAACTGAGGTAAAAGTTCTGGTATCCACCTCTTTCAATATTTTTATAATCATTATATTATTACTTCTTTCTGTTCTTTAATTTTATCTTAATCTTCATTTTCCTCTTCTTTATTTTCTTTTTCTTCACTCTCCTCTTCTTCACTCTCCTCTTCTTCATTTTCTTCTTCCTTATCCTCTACTTCCTCATTCTCTTCTTCATATCTTTCTTCTTCATCTTCCTCAATAAAGTTAAAATCCTCATCATAAATAATATTTTGATTATTATCATCGTCTCCAAAAATCTTATTTTTCATATTTTTAGCTATTTCTAAATTTAATGATATCTTATCTAACTCTTTCATTAAATTGCAATATATTCCATCCTAAAATAATAAAATTTATTAATTTATTAATAAAGTAATTCAATCATATAAATTTATTTACCTTTTTTTCCTGAAATTTAATAGCTTTTTCAATGAGTTCCTTTTGTTCTAACCAAAAAATAACAAGTCTTGTAATTTCAGATTTGACAAGTTCTTGCTCTTCTTTACTTCTATTAAGGTTATTGAAATTTTGTATTGCATTGTACATAATAATTCGTGGTATATTGCAATTTTCATCTAAAATAATATCTAGTGATATCCAAAAATTAGATTGATTATCTAAAACATTCTTGATTGATGCTGTTAGATATTTTTTCTTTTGTGTAGACGATAAAAATTCTCTTGTTTGATTATAATTTTCAATTGTCTTATTTATATTGGTTAATGCATTAGCATTCAAATTTTTAATTTTTGATGCTAACTTTTGACCTTTTAAAAATAATATTATAATTAATATATAATTAACAATTTATACATTACATATAAAAAAATTTTATTACCTTTGTGAAATTCATTATATAAATAAGATGAATTGAATAAATATTCATTTCTTTCTTTTCTCAATCCATCAATAAATTTAGATAGTTGATTAATACAATAAAATTCAAGATATGCACTATATTTTGAATCCATAGGATCCCACCGATGTGTTTTAGGTATACTTAATGATATTTCATAATTTTCAATTTTTTTAAGTATATTATCATGTTTTTTTCTTAAAAGTTCTTTCTTCTTTATATTATTAATCTTTGTAGTTTCAATGCTAATAGTAGAATTATAAAATTTTAGTATTCTATTAATAATTGCAAATTATTACAATATATAATGCAATACACTAACTTAATACTTCTTAATTCCATTAATAATTCAAAGTATGCATGTTCTCCTTCTAAATGATGCTTAAATGCTAATGGTAAAAAAATATTAGTTATATACAATCTAACATATTTTAATAATAATATTTATACTGTACCATATTCAGAAGTCTTTTGTTTTTCTATTGTTTCTTCAATTAACTTGAAATCTATATTATGTTGTTGATTTAGAAGACTTAATTTTTCTAATGATTCATGTTCTACTTTTTTTGCATTTTTGTATCTCTTGAACAGATTATTTGCTATAATAAATAAATAATAATTAGTAATTTACTTTTAGAAAATAATTATAATCGATAATATACATTTCAAACCTAATTTTTCTACAGATTTTTGATAATGAAATTCAAGTGCTGTTCCTATAATATCCAATCTATGACCAAATTTCATATATTTAGTAGTTTTGGCAAATTTACCAAGGTAAGACCACAATCTCTCCAGTGATTCACCATCAGTAAGACCTACTGATTTAATTACCCTTGGATGGTATTTTTGTTGGCATTTTGATGTATGGGCATATGCATGAAATATAGAAACTGCCCATGTAAATCTTTCAAGATAAGGGTAAAGGATATTGTTTGGATTGGCAATATGAGCATCAAGAAAACAAGCAATATCATATAAAAATATAAATTTCTGATTTGATTTTGAAAATTGCTGTTGAAAATGATCAATTAAACATTCTGCTAGAACATATCTAATTAAATTATTTAATAATTATTAAATTAATATGAATAATAATATTATAATAGTCAAATTTATTTATTACCTTTCACCCATATTACGCAAATTTAAAAATTTTAAGGGAATTCCATGCCGACATGTACTTCCAAATATTCCTGTATCATCTAAATGTTTAAATTTTTGAAGAGATTTTATTTGGTTAGTGGCCTTAAAATTGGATTCACATGATGTTGGCCCGGTCTATTTTTTTAAAATAAATAAATAAATAAATAAATAAAAATTAAAAATCTAATATATGTTAATAAATATATTAACAACTTATATAGCTTATAAATAAATTAATATTTACCTCGGATTTATTGTTATTATTCATTAAGTGAATATTAGTAGTTGAAGCTTGATTATTTGATAACAACCAACATCTAAAATTATCTTCAGAAATAATAAATCTATCATTAACTAATCGATTTTCAACATCATTTCCCGCACTTTTTAATCTTTTTAGCTGAAAGTTTCCATCAAATGCTATAATAGTATTTGAATTTTCTTCATTTGGCAAAATAAAAGTTGTAAAAATATTATAGTTAGCTTTTATTAATTATATTGATTAATGTTTTAATAAAATATTGGTCTAAAGAATGAATATAATATTTTTATACTATAAATATGAATTATTTATTTTGTTATAAATAAGTAAAAATAAAAATATACTTGTGGACATGCAGGACATCCAAACTCATTATCATTATTTTTATAAGCTTTTCTAAAATTAGTCTGAATTCTTGATTTCAATCCAAGATATTGATGAAATGAAGAAATAAATGAATGATATATATTCTACAAATTATATAAAATTAGAATTATTACAATAAAATTTTAATATATAAAGCTGAAAAACTTACTTGTGTTATAATTTGTTTACTTTGTAATGCTTATAAAACTTTGCAAAATGCCAAATATGGCACATGTGCTTCAAAAAGTAATTTATAATAAAGTTCAAATACTTCAAAATCAAAAGCAAGTGAAGGGTTGCAAGGTGTTGCAGGAAATAATCCATTTTTGATTAATGAATTTACATTTCCATCACATGCTGGAAGCTGAATATAAAACCATCCTAAAATATAAACAATTAGAATTATAAATTATTAAATAACTGAAGTTTAGAAAAATTAAAGTTACTTTAGTTACCTTTTAATGTAATTGTTAAAATTCTAATTATAGAATGCTCACAATTTCCTTCACATAATTGTGGCAATTTTACATCATTTGATTGAATTTGAAAATTTTCAAATATAAGAGTACGATGAAATAAATTGACCTTGTGATGAAAAATATTAAAACATGAATTACAATAAAATATTTTTGTTCCACAATCCAAGCACCTTAATACAGCCAAATTATTACAATTAATGCAAGTTGCATTGCTTGGAATTGCTTCATTTTCTAACATAATATTATAAATATCATCCATCCCCATTTTCCAATTTGTTGAAAGTGTAATTTGTCTTTGTTGATAACTAATATTTTTGTGATTGGAATTATTATCAGCAAATTCTATTTCACCAGTATTTTCATATTCATCATTCTTTGCTTCTAAAATTTGCTTAACTTGAAGTTTTGTATAACTGGATGCTTTATACTTATTTATTCCTTTAGAAAATTTATTGTTTATAACTCTTCCAGCATCTTTATTATTAAAGGAAACTCTATAAGGTCTATAAAATTTTGGTCCTTTAAATGTAAAATAAAGCGGAAAATTGTTATTACATCTTAAAAAATTTAAACTTTAATTATATTGACTGACCTTTTTTTGTTTTAGTATTAAGAGTATTTTTCTCAAAATTCATAGAATTTATCTCTTTAACCTTAAATTTAATAAATAAAGATGTTTATATTAGTATTCATAAATTATTTTTAACATTATTAAAACATACTTTGTTGAAATCTGACATTTTATTAATTAAAAAAAATCGAAAAAGATCAATTATTAAGATAATCTCTTTATATGATATTAATGAATGATCGGCAAACAAAAATGCAAATCCAACTGTTACCTACGTAAATGATCATAAGATTAATATGAATTATGGAAAATGATATATGAATGTAGTCTATTTAATTAAGATACAACATATAGATAAAAATAATCTCTAATAATTAAATCCAAAAATGTGAGGCAACTCAAGTAATGAAGACAAAATGTTTTTAAAATTATGAAAACACAAGTTACAAGGATACAATATCTTCAAATTATTACAAGGA